AAGCTCTTTTGAAATAGTTTATGGGACACCATTCCAAGTTTTTATTTCAGGAACACCCCATTTAGATTTAGATTATGAATCAAAAATCAAACAATATATACAACATTTAGGGCACAAGTTTGCACAAGTTTGCTTATTGCAGGTAATATCTACCCATCTGACTAGCCCTTACACCTGTTGCAGCTGGAAGACCCAGTCTTACTAAAGACCTGGAAGACTCAAGGTCCTGAACAGCAGTTAGCTGAGCAACGGACCACTCTCTATGACATCCTTCTGACAACAGACCCATTCATAAAGCTTCATGGGAATCAAGCCTTGGATCTACCACACATGGGTAACGTGGGCACCACCTGAGGAGGACTCAGATCTTGCTGCTGCTATTGGTACCTAAAGGGAACTCTGAACTTGCACTCCTTTAAAGAGATTTAAAATTCCTCTTTTGGAGAGGGATAGAATGTCCCAAAGCTAAGTGGCAATGTTATTTTTTATTTTATTCTGCATTTCCCAGATAGTGGCTCCCTGCAAATTTATTCTGCTGTTGGGTATGCCACCCAAACCCAGCTCAGGGTAAAATCATGGGATCTTTTAGTCTCTCCAGTTTATGACACTTCACTAAACACTCAACTGATTGTCTGTGCAGTAGATATCACTTTGGAAATCCATCTGCAACACCATCTCTTGAAACATGAAGCAGTCCACCAGCTTCACTTGTTCAGCCATGCCATCTTCTAAACACTGCATATAGTGCCCTCAAAGACAGCAGTCCTTCTCCTTCACTTAAAAGCCTCCATCCATTCCTGATACCCACATCTTCCTTTGTTATATGGTAAGAATTTCTGGACCCAGAGATAGGTAAGACTACACTGTTTGTCAGCAGAAGGTAACTACAGAAGAATAAGACCTTCAACTATTTGACCTTGTAAGATTACAAGGGTCCAGAATTTTGAAGAGGGGAATTGTTACTATAAAACAGTCATTCAGAGTGTCAGAGGAGACTCCACCCATTGGCCAAGATGGTGGCAGGGGGAGCTTCTTATACCAAGTACACCAAAAGCTAGAAATATGAATGGATAGGGCTTGAGAGCATATGGAAAAGTAAAAAGATAAATGGATAGGGCCCCATATGCCTCAAAAGCTAGAAAGATAATTGGGTTCTGAAAAAAATCCTTCACCTCCCTATCCCTATACAGAACTGTGGGCTTGAGCAGGAAGATGAGATGGCCTTTGAGATAGGAGTCCATCATTCTTCCAGGTTGTGTGGCACCTGAATAAACATCTTTCCTTTTTCACCAGCACCTGCCTTATGAATTTGGTTTTTGTGGCAGAAGGCAGTTGAACTTCTGTTTTTTATTTGGTAACAATATTTCCCTCACTTTACCATACTGCTTCCATTGTGAAGGAGATTTCGGTGGCTGCTCTTTTGGGGTAGCCTGTAGACAACCTAGGAGTTAGTAAGAAATTAAATCCATTACAAGGTATTAGGGAGAGCACTTATTATACTAACTGACAGTGACCCCAGTCACAATCGGGGCTCATATAGATTCCCAAAAGCAGACAGAGCTTTTTCAAAAACAATTAAGAAATGACTGTAAGGTATCATTGAAATTTGAAACTGATAAATTTTTAGGTTTCTATATGACATTTGCCCAAATTCCAATTGCCCAAATTATACATGCAATGAACATTAAATCTGAACTAAGACTACCACAAAAATAACTAAAAATGAACTTCATTCAATTTCACAGCTTATAAATATATTTGGAAATTACATACAAAATGTTGGGAAGTTGACTTTTTTGGATAGAATCTTACAACATGGTAAAATTTATTTCATCCTCAGTTCTTGATATCCAGAAACTAGATTCTATGCTACTGGAAAAGCCTTTTTACTTGGTTTATTCACTTACATTTCTGTTTCACCTATTTTTTTCTTGATTGAAACACTGCCATGTAGACTTTCAGGTAAGACAGAGGTGTAGGTAGATACACTATGCCTTCTTACACAACCAAAACAAAGAAAATAACAAATTTAAAAACAAAAAATAACCAGAAGTGCTAGAAAATCAAACTGTGTGGGAGTCTGACAACTGAGGGGTTAAAGAAGAAACATTCATTCAGACTAGTAGGATGAGTGGAGTTGGGCAGCTGGAGCAGAGAGGATGCATGACAAGGCAGGACGCATGTTTGGAAGACCAGGAGGGTGAGGTAGCAGCTTGCAGACTGGGCAGACCCACATATTTGCATGTGGATAAACTGGGAGGAACAACTGGGGATGGAGACAGACCACACAAGCCAGTGTTCTAATGTGGGAAAAGAAAGCCTAAAAACCTCTGGCTATAAAAACCTGTGGGGGTTGTGGCAGTGGGAGAAACTCCATCCTCACAGGAGAGTTCATTGGAGGGGCCCACCACATCTTAGAACATACACAAACCCACACACCAGGAATTCAGCACCAGAAGGGACCAGTTTGCCGGTGGGTAGCAAGGTAAGTGACTGAAAGCCTGTTTAGAGCTGAGCAAGCAACATTATTCCCTCTCTGTCCCCTCTCCCGTACACAGTGCCACAACTCAGCTATGTGAGTTGCTCCATCCTGGTGAATAACTAAGGCTCCACCCCTTACAATGTAACACTTGTGCTGATGCAAATAAATATGGTCCAATTGAAAGAAGAGATCAAAACTCCAAAAACAGAACTAAGCAATGAAGAGATAGCCAACATATCAAATGCAGAAATAGTTGAGTATGTTTGTAAAATAGATGAAAAAGTGAAGGCTATGCAAAGTGAAAGAAATGGGAATGTATAGGGAAACAACAGTGACAGGAAGGAAACTGGAACTCAAATCAATGATTTGACACAAAAAGAAGAAATAAACATTCAACCAGGACACAATGAAGAAAGAATTCAAGAAGACAAGAGGCTTAGGAACCTTTGGGACAACTTTAAACATTCCAACATCCAAATCATAGGGGTGCCAGAAGAAGAGGAAGAGTAAGAAACTGAAAACTTATTTGAAAAAATAATGAAGGAGAACTTCCCTACTCTGGCAAAGGAAATAGACTTCCAGGAAGTCCAGGAAGCTCAGAGAGTCTCAAAGAAGTTGGACCCAAGGAAGCACACACCAAGGCACATCATAATTACATTACCCAAGATTAAAGATAAGGAGAGAATCTTAAAAGCAACAAGAGAAAAGGAGACTGTTACCTACAAAGGAGTTCCCATAAGACTATCAGCTGATTTCTCAAAAGAGACCTTGCAGGCAAGAAGGGGCTGGAAAGAAGTATTCCAAGTCATGAAAGGAAAGAACCTAAATCCAAGATTACTCTATCCAGAAAAGCTATCATTTAGAATGGAAGGGCAGATAAAGTGCTTCCCAGATAAGGTCAAGTTAAAGGAGTTCATCATCACCAAGCTGTTATTATATGAAATGTTAAAAGGACTTATCTAAGAAAAAGAAGATAAAAAATATGAACTGTAAAATGACAACAAACTCACAACTATCAACAACCCAACCTAAAAACATAACAAAACAAAACAGAAACAACTATGAACTAAGCAAACAATTAGAACAAGAACAGATTCACAGAAATGGAGATCACATAGAGGCTTATCAGCGGAGTGTGGGAGGGTGGGAAATGGGGTAAAAGGTACAGCAAATAAGAAGCACAAATGGTAGGGACAAAGTAGACAGGGGAAGGTTAAGAATAATGTAGTAAGTGGAGAAGCCAAGGAACTTATGTGTATGCCCCATGGCCATGAATAAGGGGAAGGAATGCTATTGGGAGAGGGGTATAGGGTGGAGGGGAATAAAGGGGGAAATGGGATAACTGTAATAACATAACCAATAAAATATATTAAAAATAGAACCTAATAAATAGCCCAAATGAGCAAAATAGAAGCAGAGGCATGGAAGCAAGGAATAGACTGTCAGCCACCAGAGGGTAGGGGGAAGGGGGATCAGGGTAGAATGAAGGGGAAAGGACTAGTCAAGTAACATGTATGAATAATACATGGACATGGACAACAGGGTGGGTATTGTCTGTGGGAGTGGGGGTGGTGGGATGGGTGAAGGAGAGCTAAGGGGGAAAATTGGGATAAGTGTAATAGAACAACAATAGAATATTTATTTTTAAAAATAAAAGCAATGAAAAAAACAGGAAAAATAGAAGATGATGTTAGGGAAATGGAATGTGCTTAGAATAACAAAGGACTTAATAATAAAAGACAAAAACAAAGAGAAAGAATAGCAGAAATATGGCCTGCTTCAATGTGGTTGGTAGGGTAATGAGTGTAATAATTTATAGTTTTAATTTGAATATTTCACCTAAAATGCCATATGCTGTGCTTGAGTGTGATATTGTTGTTACAGAATTACATACTTATGATTTTGTAATAAATGGAAGTATTATTTGTGCCAGACCCTGTATATTGATGTTCTAGGGTTTTTTATGGGAATGAACCAATCTTTCACCAGCCCCTACAGGCTGTTATAAGACCACACATATTTGAGTGATAAGAAAAAAATGCATTCAGATAAAAGTTACTTTTTAACATCTCTAAAGAAATTAGGTGGGAGAGGCAAAATGAAGAGGATTGGCATGATCTGTGGCTTTGTCTCTCCTATGGTGGCTTTCTCTTCTATTAGCACAGATAATCATATTTTGTTGCAAAAGCCCACATTTCATTGATTAAAAGTAACCAAAGTGTTATTCCCATTTGTAAATATTTTTCTTGATAGTATATATTAGGATGTAAAACTACTGTTCTCATACTCCAAGGGACTTGGAAATTCCATAAGGATAATTTTGTTTCTAATAAGTCAATAGATTTTCATTTAATATTATTATCTGTGCTCTAGAGAACAAGAAATACAAGTAAAAATAGCTAATTATGTATACATTTGAACTAGAATGCAAGAGGAAGGGAGACTATTTCATTTTTACTGAGGCAAACTTCTAAGAAAAATAAAAGTAGTTATACTCTTTTAGCAATTTGCTTCTTACCCAAAACATAAATCTCACTGTTGACTACAGCTGTACTGAATCGGTACTTAGAATACTTCATGGGTGCCCGCTCTGTCCATTGGTCTTGTCTAGGGTCATACTGCAACAGTTTGTTGCTTAATCGATCAGGTTCTTCAGCAGGAAGGTCCATCTGCATGAAATATGACAATCAATATAATACATCAGTATATATATAATATAATACAACCAATATAATACAACCAATAATACATCATTTAAAATCTCTGTGGATACATAAATGCAATTAGCCAAAGCAAATAGCCAAGCAGATGGAGGTTAACTGTAGTGACTTGAACTAACAAACCCACAAATCCCATGATTCAGGATTATGAATCCACTGTCCATATCAGAGGAATTTATATTCCATAATAATGAGGCTAAGATGTTGAGTTACAGCAAATAATCTGTGATCTTAGCAGTAAGACAACACAGCATTTTTTAAAAATGAAGCAGCTGCAATGCCTTAAAAATGAAACCATGCTTTCTATAGTAGAACAGTATTTAAAGTATAATTTTATTTTGTCAAACATTATAGTGGTGGATTCTAATATTTGTGAGAAACAATTTATAAGGCATTTATATTTATAGTAATTTTCTTTTTTTTAAAAGATTTTATTTATTTATTTTTAGAGAGGGAAGGGAGGGAGATAGAGAGAGAGAGAGAGAAACATCAATGTGCGGTTGCTGGGGGTCATGGCCTGCAACCCAGGCATGTACCCTGACTGGGAATCGAAACTGCAACACTGTGGTTTCGCAGCCTGCACTCAATCCACTGAGCTATGCCAGCCAGGGCCTATAGTAATTTTCTAGTACAAATGGAACAAATATTATAGTGTTCTAGTAATTATTTTTACCCCATAATTATAACCTATATAGGAATGGTCTGATGAATTCAATTTTCAAAATCTATGCATTAATATAAATTATTCACAGTTATTTTATGTATTTATTTTATTTACATATATTTTTAAATGACTAGATATAGTACAAATTGAATGACTGTTTATCCTTACACAGATGTATGTGGCTTCTCCTACTCATAAAATTCAGGTGAAGTAATTCTTTTTTATAATGTGTCAGGAACTTTTATGACTTCAAGCTAAGGATGCTTAAGTGTCTTTTAGTTTTAGTTTTGGATGCAGATGTTCAACACAGAAATAATTGCCATAGTTACAAAAGTTGTGTGCAATTAATTTTAGTTAATTACTTTAAATGCATCAGGAGTTATCACTATGATTGCAATCACAACCCCATGTTACTTTGCAATTTAATGTATAGCATTAGGCAAAGACTAGCTAAAGCTTTTCTCGGGCAATAAATATTCACGTCATAAGTTCAAAGACAATATAAATTAATAAATATTATCTTTATTGTTTTAATTTTTCTTTTTTTTCTTTTTTTTAAAGAGAAGAGGGAATTTTTAAAAAGATTTTATTTATTCATTTCTAGAGAGGGAAGGGAGGGAGAAAGAGAGAGAGAGAGAGAGAAACATCAATGTGTGGTTGCTGGGGGTCAAGGCCTGCAACCCAGGTATGTACCCTGACTGGGAATTGAACCTGCGACACTTTGGTTCGCAGCCTGCACTCAATCCACTGAGCTATGCCAACCAGGGCTAATTTTTCTTTTAATATATTTTCTTCTAATGTAAGTATTTAATCTCCAATGTAGTGAAAAAGTAAAGAAAAGCTTATAAGTTCTCTTTAGAGCTTATTCATATAAAAATTAACTATATAATGAATAGTTATAAAAAAGCTTAATTATAAATAATTTGTCAGGTATCAGCTACTAGCTGATCTGTACTTCTTTTTGATACATAGCACAAATTTAAAATGTATTAAATGTGAAGTTTAAGTTTTTAAAACAGGTATGGTATGTCATTTACATGGCAAAGTGCAAGCTTATGAAATAAATGCAAAAACATCAGTTTTATCATGAAATAAATAAGGAAAGCCAAGAAACAATATAGGAAAAAATAAATTTACATCATGTGGGTTGACAAGGAGCTATTAAGATTAATTTCTCTTAGAAAGACAGCATGGCCAGGGTAAAAGACAACTGGAGATACTACTGTGAGAGCTCCAAGACACTGGGAGGAACACCCAAGAGAAGAGGAAGGACCACTGTGGTCACACTCTTTTAACTTTTCAATTTTGACTTGCCAACATTTCACTGGGCTTCAATATAAACAGTGTTCTGGTTTCTCTGTGTGTGGATGCCCAGCAAAAACACAAAGTGTTTAAAATCATAATATGCTGTTGCAGAAATAATTGTGCCAACACAGGATCAGTATTATTCTGGTTTCCTACTTAGAGTAAGAATTTTAAATGTGGAAAGGACCTAAGAGTTAGTTGCCTCATACAGCTGTTATGCAGACAGTTCTGGGATGAGGACCCAGCTTCTCTGCCTCCTCCTTATATGTTCCCTACAGATAATCCATCAGCATAAGCATCTTTCATAATTAGTAAGATGGGAAGTATTATGAAGAATACAGCATGAATACTGAATGAAGGCATTCTATGAATAACACTTTACAATTTTATTCTCCTAAACTGATTTAACACTTTAAAATTTAAGTTTAATATTTCATAAAATAAATTTTTTTTATCAAAATGCAAGCCATACTCTTTTAGTATTGAACAACCACAACATTTTCAACATAGCAACCTGACTCAACATAGCCATGCCAGTTAGGTGTGTAGGAAATCCCTTAACCTGAGGGGTCCAGCCTCCAATCACATAAAGTTTATTATTCACTGTCACTACAGCATGACATGCCAATTGTAGTGGAAGGGGAGACACCGTTTTCCAAATGTCCTGTTCTACTGAGTACTTATCAACACAGTTTGTAATAAGATACTGGTTTTTAATTTTCATCTGTCCTCCTATAACATAGAGGTCATCATGGACACTGCCCAGAGCATAGAGTTCTCGAAATTCAGTAGTGCATAACTTTTCCCAAAACTGGTTTCCTCTATCATGATACCTGTAAAATAATAGAAAGAGAATTCAGGATTAGAGTTAACATGAAAACAACTTACCCAAGAAACACACTTAAGCTTTATTTCCAACCAAAAATAATATGATTTGGTTCTTCTAACTTGAGAGGAAGTAAACATCACTATAAGATAGTTATACAGGTTTGCAAGATATTTTTTTTTTATTTTTTGAAAGGACTGATGAAGAAAATATAATGTGTATAAAAACTATTACCCACACCTACCTTCAGAATTTTAGGAAAAATAGTATATTGAAAAAGTGTAGATTATCCAGGACTAGCCTTCATTTCCTAATTCTGGGGAGGAAAATCAAGAACAAATAGCAAAGTCTCTTAGCAAATCATTTGTAATTTTACCATAAGAGAATAATAAGTAAAAATAAAAAATAAAACGTCTAATTCTGTGGACTAGAAGTTTCACCTTAATACTAATTAAGAAGTAAGTTTTAGAGCAGAGAATCTGAAAACATCTTAATTCAGAGACTTCTAATGGGATGATGTATGTGTAGACTTTTAAGGATTGTTCTTTTAGTTCTAATTGGCTCAGATCAGCATCAAGAACACTTGTGAGTGTTATAAAAATCTACCTGCAGATGTCTGTCAGGCATTTAACATTTATTTTAATCCCCTAGATATGATAATTTTAGTAATTTCTTCCATGAATAATTATGTCAGTCTGAGAAGAATCTTGGGAGATAGAGACACTAGGATATATGATCTCTTAATACCTCCAGAAGTCCAACATATACATTAACTGATTATCTGTGCACGTGTAGCATTATATAGTCACTAAATACATGAGTTTGTGGCTATCCTTTGTCTTGCTTCTTGATAGTGGTTAAGTCAGTCATGACTTGGGACGTAGTCTGAGAAGGACAAAAGTACTTACTGGGACAGTGGTATAAAATATGATATTAGATTTCTTGTAGAAAATCCAGAATGTGTACCTGGAATTCAAAACTAAAACAAAACAAAAAAACAAAAGCCAGGGAATTAAAAAAATTGTTCTGTTTGGAAACAAATGAAGAAATTATCTGTGTGTGTTCCCTACTGAGTACAATTTTAAAGTTCAGACTACTTATTTTGCATCAAACATTGACAGTTGATGACGTTTATGAGTTTTTCTTAATTATGTTGTTAACTCTTTCATTCTTTCCCATTCTTGACAGGTAAGTTAGAAGATTATGCTTCTTTTATATAGGGCATGTCTGGCTTGTCACACACTGAATGCAGAAGTTTATCAAACCTTATGATAGCTATCTTCTAGATAATTCTAGGTAGGAAACCAGAGTCTGTAGAATCACAGGTGATATTTTTACCACTATTTTTAATTGTACTGAATTTCAGAAGAGAAAGGAGAATTAGGTATCTAACTGTAGGTAGAGGCTACTAAAGTAAAGCCAGTAAATGAATATATACAAGAACTAAAAAAATGGTTTGATTTACTGAGACATGATTCAAGAAAACAGGCCAAGAATGAAATACATCCCATGAAGATTGGGATGTACATGTTCACTGGGCAACTTGATAATCTGATTTTTGTTTTAACAGTTTGAACTGAAAACATGGAGAGAAAATGCCCAGATAAAAATGTAAAACTTGGGAGCATTTGAGATCTTGCTTCCTGGCAATTTTTACCAGTTTTGGCTTAAGCTCATATTTTTTTTTAAACTGTAAAATTTATTAAGAAAAATAGATGTGTCATAAAAAAGAAAATAATAGTGACAAAATCATTCAATGTTCTCAGAAGTTGATAGTTTAAAAACAATATGTATCCTTAGCTGTTTGCATATCAAAGTATGGGAGATAAGTAAAGGAGATAGGTCCATCTTTTAGAAAAGAAATGACCAACTAGAGTATTAGTCTACTGCTTCTTTTAAGTCAAAAAGAAATGTATCTGCATGAAAATATATTACCTACAGAGTAGAAGGAAACTGAAGAGTGTCTAGGTAAAAATAAAAGGGATTAAAAACAAAAGTAATACAGTAGGAATATACCAGAAGATAGTAATGATTTCTCACACATATCACAAAACTGGCACTAAAGTGACCTTCAGTAGTGCCTGCCATAAGATTTTTAACTCTCCAGATACCTGCTGGAAGTCTCATTTAAGCCCAAAGCAATGCTTCTGATTATTTAATTATTTTCCTTACTGACAATTTCATTATTAGAGGAAATGAGGAGGGAAACTGATACTTTTACCCTAATTCTGACCAATGTGGAGGAGCTGGTTGGTGATGGGAACCTGGTTGAATCAAGATAGATCAGGGTATGTAGTCAGACATATGCTGTAAGAAAGGGAAGCAGGCTTTCAAAAAAGTTAAGAAAAAAATACTTGGGGATCAAAATAGAAACACATTTTGATAGGATTGGATATTTATTAAAAATAAATTCTGGTGGCAGTTTTGTAGACTGATCAGAAAGAAAAGGACTATTTAAAGAACCTAAGGTACTTATAACAAGAGGTTTTCAAATGGAAAGAGGGGCCAAAAAATCCAGGACCAAATAAACAAGTGGCATGGACCTATAAGAACCATGCTGGGAAAGCCAAAGCTCCCTCTTCCTTTAAGATTTGATATCCAGTGTCGCAGGTTCGATTCCCAGTCAGGGTACATGCCTGGGTTGCAGGCCATGACCCCCAGCAACTGCACATTGATGTTTCTCTCTCTCTCTCTCTATCTCCATCCCTTCCCTCTCTAAAAATAAATAAATAAAATATATAAAAAAAGATTTGATATCCCAAAAGAGAAAAAAAAGTTGAAACCATGGTAATTCTGAAGAACCTTGCTCCTTCTACTGAGTGACATGCTCTGCCACAATGGGCATAGGTCCAGGTCTTATCTAGTGTTCTACATTCCCTCCCTTCTCTCTACTAGAGAAGATGAAACATGTACACAAAGGATGAATATGAAAAAGGGACAGGCCTATAGCTTGAAACAGATAATGAGATACTAGGAGATGACAGAAAGAGTAGATCTCTTAATTATTTCTTTAACCTAACTTTACTGTTCACAAACATTGCTTTCTGACTGAAAATTCATAATGAACTCTGGAAAGAGGGAACTGAGGGGAAAAAGATATTGAAGGAGAGCTTTACTATCTATTATGTATTTCATGTATATATTTATTATTTACCCAAGTAGATTTAAAAGCTGAATACTTGCTGAATAAATAGTAAACAAATGTATGTGTCCTCATATACAAGATCTAGGTGATATGCTACTTCTTAGCAGACACTCTTTTTCCTCTTACATTTCCAGGGGTGAAGCACTCTTATTAGGCTACAAACATTTTATACTATTGGAGGTTTAGGGAAGATCCACACATTAAGGATACAGAATGCAATGTGACAGATAATTAGTAATTTTTGTTTGAGAAAAAATCACTACTTTGGAGTAGTAACTAAAATAAATAAGTTCAAAGGAGTCAATGGTAGTAAATTTTTCTTCCAGTTAAAAGTTATATCAAACTCTTCAAAAACAAAGCGTACTGATAAATAAGAAAAGAATGAAAAGATATCCAATGAAATTAAAACATATATATATTTAGCTTATGTAAATTATATGTTCTTAACAAAGGTTTTTAAGTATGGGTGATTTAATTATGAATTTTACATATGTAAAATACATAAAATGTGTATTTACAGGGTAATTTTGATTACATATAATTTAAGATGTGATCACTCTTTCAGCAGTATTTTTTTCTACTGTTGCTAATGTCAAAGCAAGGTAATTAAAACAAACATAAATACAGTGCTAGATACAAACCTATAGATTTCAACATTCTTGTTCTTTTGTCTAGAGAGTTTAGAGGCAGTTGCTTCTCCAGCCACAATTATAGCATTGTTTTCCATGACAACACCAGTACACACAGATCCTAAACCCTCTCCATATTTGGGAGATGAGATAAAGTAGGTCTTCCGTGATGCAGGATCATAACAAAAACTGGCATCCCCATAATTCCTATGTCTTGACCTGATTCCTGAAGAATTATTGCCAATGCAAAGCAAAAGACTAGTAGTCTCCATGCCATAACGAAGATTTAGAGGATGCTGTTGTGGTTTCTTGAAGGTTTTGAATGTGTTTTGAATTATGTCAATGCAATTTGCATCACATAGAAGCATTGTGTTTCTTTTCAGGGCTTGTCTTAAAAAAGAAGGATTTATAAGTTCCAGTCTTACTTGCTTCAAAAGCTCAACAAGATGCTCTTTGCGCAATTCCTGGTTATGATTTACCCATCTCAGAACTAAGTCCAAAATGGTCTCCTCTCTGGATATGTTAAGGTCATCTGATTTAATAAGCATTAGAAACTGGTACATTTCAGTTTCTAGTATTTCTTCATGTAAGCTCACCTCAGCAAAGTGCTGATATAAATATTTCTTTGACTGATCAGATAAATCTTCAGCTCCAATCTGCTTTGCAAAATGATAGATACCCACACAGTTGAAGGCATCCATATGGTCCATCATATATTTTTGACACACACTAAAGACTTCTTCCATCTGCATAAAATAGGCAGCCATAGCTACAGTCTGTACATTGGCATTATTGATCTCCAAAACTGCACTGTACATGTAATTTAATATAACTGACACACTTTCTGCTGTGATGTCATAAAGTATGACTTCTCTTTGAGCACATTCAAGTAGCCCACAGGTGAACATGGCTTTGAAATAAGGACTGAAAACAGACAGGATCAGTCTGTGGCAAGGAAATTTCTCTCCTTCTGCTATGATTACTACATCAATCATTTCTGCTAATTCTTTCATGTTCTTAATTTTATTCAGTAAATTTAAGCTATGTTGGTATTTTTCTTTTCCATCAGTTTTGTACTCCATGATAGACTCTTCAATGTTTCTAAGTTGTCTTCAAATTTAGCTTGATTCTTGAGGGGCTATTTGCATATCAGATTACTCACAAAGCAACACGAGATATAGCAATCCTGAGGGAAAGAAAAGAAGCAGTTTTTTTTCTAAGAAAAAATTCTCTACATTATTTAAAATGCAGCATTAGTTCTATGAAGTATTTATAAAAATATTATTCATTCCAAATAGAATACTTTAACTTCAAGATAACTACTTTTTATATCTTAAAATAACATCAATTGTATAAACAGTAAATTTTTATTTTCCTAATCAGCTGCAGAGGCCTTTCTAGGGGTCTGGAAAGTCCTCCCTCCCATGGTGAATGAAACAGAAGTGATAAGATGGGAATATTTTAGAATTCCACTTCCCGTTATCAAATACAGCTATATGGCAGACTGAGGGTACATAGGAATTAGGTAACATTTTCTCTGAAGAGATGCAACATAACAAAAAAGGCTATGTGTGCCTCCCCCAAAATGCACCCAGATGTATTTTCACAAAATCACAACCATGGGCCATGTATAATGGGTGAAAAAAATTTCCTAAAATTCTTCTCAAACTTTGCTTTGGGGCAAATAATTCAAAACAGATGCTTTGGAAAGCACAACCCAATGTCTGCTGACCTGGGGCTTCACAATATTTGAAACTTCCAATTAAATCATCCTAAACTTAGAAAATACACAAAAGTCATTTGGTTTCTTCTCTTCCTTCCTTAATCAGCTTCTCTTTTCCCCTATTTCATAGTAGCAGAAACTGTATGTATGGCTTCTTGACTTAAAAAGCACTAGTCTAGTTAAAAGTCTCTTTAACCTAGATATCTCATCTTCACCTTTCCTAGAGTAATGGAAATAGGCTGTTTCACAGAAGTTAATTAGTTGTTTTGATTTAATGAAAGACATTTCTAAAGTCAGAAACCTTTATGTGAAGAGGGGATCTCAAGTCTCTGTCACTCTTTCTACTTGGCTATAAGTTGCATGCAATAAGGATAAATATTGATGATAGAAAAGTCAGTACTAGGAGTTTAAGAAAGAAGGGGAGGTGTAATTTCAAAAATGTAAAAACAAAATTTGTCAGCTGTAAAGATTATACACGTTCTTTTCTTTTCTTTTTTAATTGTTGTTCTATTACAGTTGTCCTAATTTTCTTCCGTTGCTCTTCCTTGCCCTGCTCCTGCTCCCACAGTCAATCCCCACCCTGTTGTCCATGTCCATGGGTCATTTATACCTGTTAGTTGATTAGACCCCTTCCTTTATTTCCCCTCTTAACCTCCTTCTTCCTTCCCTTTGATGACTGTCAGTCTGTTTCTTGTTTCCATGCCTCTGGTTCTGTTTTGCTCATTTGATGGTTTTGTTCATTATGTTCCCATTATACTGAGAAAATATGGTATTTGTCTTTCACTGCCTGGCTTATTTCCACATTTTCTAAATCTATGTGATCCTGTAAAGAATTAGAAATCTCATGTGTCTTTATAAGGCATGGTATTTTTTTTTCCAGTGCTAAATTAAAGTTATTTTCAGGAAACAAGTGTTAAACATGATAGGAACATTTAATTATATAATGGCAACTATAAGACATATAAAAAGAAAGTACAACAATTAGCCAATATGGTAGTGGAAAAACTATAATAAAAAGTATGATTGCAAAAAGGAAACCTAAATTTGAATAAAAAACTAGCCAATCAGAGAATATGTATACTTAAAAATTTTTTAATGTTGTTCAAGTACAATTTTCTCCCTTTCCCCCCACCCCTCCTTACCACACCAGCCCTCCCCACCTCCCTTCCCCATTTCCACCTCCCTTGTTATTGTCCATATGTCCTTTATAATTGTTCCTGTAAACCCTTCACCCTTTCCCCCCATTATCCCCTCCCCCTCCTTCTGATCACTGTCAGCCTGTTCTCAATTTCAATGTCTTTGGCTATACTTTGCTTGCTTGTTTATTTTGTTGATTAGGTTCCCATTAAAGGTGAGCTCATATGGTATTTGTCTTTCACTGCCTGGCTTATTTCACTTAGCATAATGCTTTCCAGTTCCATCCATGCTGTCACAAAGGGTAGGAGCTCCTTCTTTCTTTCTGCTGCATAGAATCCCATTGTGTAAATGTACCACAGGTTTTGGATCCACTCATTTACTGATGGACACTTAGGTTGCTTCCAGCACTTGGCTATTGTAAATTGTGCAGCTATGAACATTGGGGTGCATAGGTTCTTTTGGATTGGTGTTTCAGGGTTCTTAGGATACAATCCTAGCAGTGGAATTGCTGGGCTGAAAGGCAGTTCCATTTTTAGTGTTTTGAGAAAATTCCATACTGTTTTCCATAGTAGTTGCACCAGTCTGCAATCCCACCAACAGTGCACTAGAGTTCTTTTTTCTCCACACCCTCTCCAACATTTGTTGTTTGTTGCTTTGTTTATGATGGCCATTCTGACTGTGGTAAAGTGGTATATCACTGTGGTCTTAATTTGCATCTCTCTGATGGCTAGTGATATTGGACATCCTTCCATATGTCCTTGGACCCTCTGTATGTCCTCCTTGGAGAAGTGTCTGTTCAAGTCCTTTGCCCATTTTTTAATTGGGTTACTTGTCATCTTAGAGTGGAGTTGTGTGAGTTCTTTATATAGTTTGGAGCTCAAACCCTTGTCTGAGGTATCATTGGCAAATATGTTTTCCCCTACAGTTGGTTCCCTTTTTATTTTAATGCTGTTTTCTTTAGCTGTGCATAAGGTTTTTATTTGGATGAGATTCCACTTGTTTATTCTTTCCTTTATGCCCCTTGCTCTAGAGGACATATCAGTCTCCTAGAAAATATTGCTGCATGAAATATATGAGATTTTCCTGCCTATAATCTCCTCTAGGACTTTAATGGTGTCACGACTTATATTTAAATCCTCTATCCACCTTGAATTTATTTTTGTGTATGGTGTAACTTGGTGCTTGAGTCTCATTTTGTTTGCATGTAGCTGTCCAGTTCTCCCAACACCATTTGTTCAAGAGACTATCTTTGCTCCATTCTATTCTGCTGCCCCCTTTGTCAAATATTAATTGACCATAGAGACCTGGGGTCTCTGGGGTCTCTATTCTGTTCCATTGGTCCATGTGCCTGTTTTTATGCCAATACCAGGCTGTTTTGATTACAGTGACCTTGTAGTATAGTTTAGTGTCAGGTATTGTGATCCCTCCTACTTTGCTCTTCTTTCTCAAAATTGCAGCGGCTATTCGGGGTCATTTATGATTCCATATAAATTTTTGAAGTGTTTGTTCTATGTCTGTGAAATATGCCATTGGTACTTTAATAGGTATTGCATTGAATCTGTAAACTGCTTTGGGTAGTATGGACATTTTGATGATGTTAATTCTTCCAATCCTTGAACATGGTATATGTTTCCATTTGTTTGTGTCTTCCTTAACTTCTTTTTTCGGTGTTGTGTAGTTTTCTGAATACAGGTCTTTTACCTCCTTGGTTAGGTTTATTGCTAGGTATTTTATTTTTCTTGTTGCTATATAAAATGGGATTTTTTCCCCTGATTTCTGTTTCTGGTATTTCACTGTTGGTGTACAAAAATGCCTTTGGTTTTTCTAAGATGGCAGCTTTGTTTGAGGGAGCATGATCCCCTACCTCTGTGCAGGGCAGAGAAACTTGCAGATCGGCGGAGGAACAGAGCAAGGGGCCTAGGTTACCGAAACATTTATGAGAACAGGACATCAAAAATTATAGCGGACATTGAAAAACGAGACAGTAAAGAGACTGCTTCAGGACTACAGGGACCCAGGGATCAGCTCGGGGACCAGGGGGGTTGCAGCCACCAGGCCTGGTGTCCTGGGTCTGCCTCACTGCACCTGGGAGAGCGGAGTCGCTGCTCCCTCCCCGGACTATGGGGGTTGAGCCACACCAGGGGAGACCTTGTTGCTTGAAGGCACAGAGAGGGGAGTTGGACTGGGAGACAATCTTGCAGGGGCTGCAAACACCCACGCATAGCCCTGGGAGGGGTGCCTCCAGCCTGAATGACCAGGGGTAGCCTGGACCTACCCCCAGCCCAGTGGGAATGTGGATCTGTGGAAAACCCAGACTTCCGGAACAAGGAAAGGGCGCAGGGGTTCTCAGGTTTCTGGAGCCTGCGGTGGTGAACTCGGGGAAGCCTGCGCCCCTTTGGGATTCCCAATTTTCGAGCTGTGAACCCGGAAGGGATGCGGCGCTTCGGGGGTTCCTGGAGCCCGCAACGGGGAAATTGGTGAAAGTGCACTCCCCTTAGCCATCCCCGGAGCTGGCACCGTGAATCCAGAAAAGATGCGGGTGCTTCCTGAGAACATAGAGCCCGCCAAGGTGAAATCTGGGGAAAGGGTGCATCTCCTTGCAATCCCCAGAGCTTGCACCATGAACCCAGAAAAGACGCAGGAGCTCTGCGGGGTCCTGGAGCCCCAGAGACCGTGGCAGTGAGATCTGGAGACTGTGCTCCGGAGCGCCCAGGGTTCTTCAAGGGAAAGTCAGATTGGCTCTTAGGAGAGCTCCCTGCTGGCCCTGGGGAAAGTACCTGAGAGACTGACTGAGTTCCGACTGGGAAGAGTGATAAGCATTTCAAATGCTCCTCAGCTTGCTGAATCCAGCAAGAGCAGAAAAACTGGTCTGGCCAGTTAGAAACCAACAAGAGGTTTTTTTTTATTTGTTTGTTTGGTCTTTTTTTTTGGCTGTTGTTGGTTCATTGTTTGATTTTACCTTGTTTATTTAAGTGACTTTTTATTTTTTAATTCTTATTATTTTTATATCTCTCAATTTCTTATGTTTCTCTTCCTTTCATCCTAGTATTATTCCTTTCACTCCAAATTTATCTCTCCTGCATTCCATCTTCTGCTTTTTTCCCTTTTATTGAGCTTGCAAGTTACTGCAAATTTGCATTATCTTTTTCTCACTTTTCTGACACTTTTATTTTAATAGTATTTTGGTATTCTTTTTCTTTTTGTATAATCTTCTTTGCTTGGCTTGTTACACTGTCATTTGATAGGTTCCCCCTGTTATCTCAGTCACAGTGTGTTGATAACTCACTATCCTTCATTTGTGTTCCATTAGTACACCTCTCAAGGTT